TCCGATCTATATTCTAGCAATCATTTTGACTTTTGCACAAAATTATTTTGGTTATTAAACAAAAATTATTTCAGATCTGGGATTCAGCAAAAGTGTTCTTTCCGTGTATGATTTTAAAAAAGTTTTTAAATATAATTATGAAAGGTTCGTCACAATAAAAACGTGATCTAATTGATGTAATAATATTATTTGTGGCAGTTTGTGTGTTCGTATTGGTAAGTGAGATTGATAACATTAGTCTCATTTATGTTACGCTGTTAAAAGTTTAAGAACTAAAATATGAAGTAAAAAGTAAATTAATATTTTTTTCCTATTTAAAATTTTTATTCAAAGATAGTTTGCGAATTTTTCTTTGTATCCGTGTGAACAATACTTGTCTTCTATATACACTTCTATAAACAAGAGATTGTTTATTTTCTCTTCATTTTTTTATGTTTAATAAAATAAGTTAAATTTTAGCTGTTGGAAACTACGTACCCATTTACAGAACATGCACTTTGTTAGTCTCAGAAAGTATCGTCGAAAGGAGTGGTACAAGTATGCTCGGCAGTTCACGTAAGCCGCGCGCTTTAGCGGTGCAAAGGTTAATAAGCGCTACCGTGTAACACGTGGGATTAAGCATATTCCATCCTTTGCGTTATTTCTTGCGAGGTACTGCATCGGTCTGAATACGCGTCGCTTACGAACGAAAAAAAAAAGAGAGAACAAAAAGGCGTAATTGTTTTCACTGGCGTTGTTTAATTGGCGGGCACATATGTATCTTCCCAAATCGACAAACTTTTTTTTTATATTTGTCGCCATATGCCGCAGAAAAAAAGCTAGCGAAATGGTCCATCCGCTACAACATTCGATATTCGATGTTGCAACCAATCAACAATTACTGTCGATTACGTCCCTGCTCTCTCTCTCTCTCTCTCTCTCTCTCTCTCTCTCTCTCATCTTGCTGTCATTTTGAAAAATGGTTATCCATCGTACGGGCGCACAGTTTATACGCGGCCGACCGGTTTCTAGTTTTCGCGAACCGATAAATTGACGTCCTGCTAAAGGATGGCTCGCAAACACTACTTTGCGCCTCGTGAAAAATGCACGAGAGCGGCACATATTTACCGCGCGTTCGAAATTGGATTACAACTGGGTCGCACCTGGTATTCTCGACGATCTCCCAATTCTTTTCTTTGAGCTCCCTACAGAGCTTCGTGAGTTTCCGGAGGAGGATATTAGCGGTTGTGTCCATCTCCTCCAATTCTATCGTCCAGAAATTTCCGGTTTTGTAGCGTTCCCAAGCGTCGTTCCATTCGTCCGTCAATTGCCACACCAATTCGATCACCGCTACATCCTTCGCAAGTGAAAAAAGCGCCGAGAAGTCGAATAAGCACGCGAAAAGTGCACGGAGATGGTGTATACATATATATACGGTGTGTATATATATATATATATATATATACGGGCGACATTTACTTTCTCGAGTTGCGCCAGTTCTTGCGAATCCGGGTAATTTATGCCAAAAATCGTCAGCTGTGATTTTAACAGGCTTTCCCTGTCTCTCAGGGAATATATTTCCTTCCAGAAGGTGGCTAGCCAATTTAAAGCGTCTGTAACGGCAAAATGTAATAACAGCCAGTAAAATGACTGCCCTGCAGATGAAATAAAATAACATTCCGGATAAACAATACGCCTGGGTGAAATCAATTTATTTATTTTTTTCGCGATCAAGTTGCTGCTTTAGTTCACTTAACGCTTGGTTCCCGAGCATACGCGGGATTACCATAATGGTTGCTCGTGTGTGTTTATAGAGGCAAAGTTCACGTGAAAAAAAACCGATCCGGAATCGACAAACACATTTCAAACAGTTGGACGCGATGCAAAAACGTGCTATGAATAAATAGCACGTATGCAATCTGCAGTAAGCAAAGGCAAGCGGAATTTCTGTTCTAACTTTTTTTTTTTAATGTTCACGTAGACGATATTGCAAATTATCACTATTAACGCGTACCATCTTCAAGTCATTATGACAAGTGAAATATTCATATTAGAACATTTTTGTCTGATATTCTGCACGCTTTGTGCTTTAAAAACCCTTTCCCCCTCCTCATTTTCTTCTTATTCAATTTATAAACTAAATTTCTTTTATCCAATGTCAAAATTTAAAACGGCGAACAGTATTTCAGGTCATTCATTGCCATGCAAATCCATTATAGATTGCAAGACATTGTTCAACGTAAGATATATCCACATTGTCCCGAGGGGAGCGCGCGAAAAGATATGGTAGTTGATTTATGCAGCGACTCGACTCTATCTCACGACGAACGCGGATTTACACATCGGATGAGAACGTGTAAACAAGTGTACCTTTTGAATTCCAGTCTGATGTGAAAGGCCCGGTATCGTTAAATCTGCGCACCAAGGAGGACACATCCACTTCGAACATTGTCGCGTCAGTCAACAATATATGCTTAAATTCATCCTATATACATATATGTAACATTGAAACTGTATTAATAGTTAAAAAAAAACCGACTCGAATTATTATATAAATATTTATATAAATAATTTCATAAATATTTATATGTGGAAAAGTTGAGATTTCTAATATCCGACTTTTCTCTACACGTAAACGTGTTTCACTATAATAAATTAAACATTGAATTTTTAAGTATTTTAACTTAAAATTTATAAATGGTAAGAAATTTGCAATTTCTCCATTTTGCCTTCTTTTATCCATTAACATCAACTTTGTAAATACTCGAGTGTTTTTACTATGTAAAACTAATTTTTCAAATTGTATAAGAAATTCCAGTGCACGGTGAAGTGACGTCAAAAAATTAGGAAAGTATTAATTGACATCTCATTTTCCTTTTTCGTTGGCGTTGACGCCAACGCCGACGCAACTCAATTTTTTATTACAAAGTTTCCCCGAAGTTTTCTTTTATATACCAAGGGAATATCGTACCTTTTTTTCAAGCAAAGTAACTTCGCACGTGGCAAGTAACTCCAAGTAAGCTGTCCAGGAGCGGTCGATGTCTTTTAATTTTCTCCTGAACTCGTAAGTCAGCGGCACTTCGTATTTTTCTGGAAATAATAATAATTAAGCGTTCTCCGTAATACACTGCAATATAAGAATGCATAATTGTGCATAATTACGTGAATAGATTGAGAGACAATTAATGTTCCCGCAGAATTTACTTGTAATTAATTTTGAAATTTGCACTTAAAATCCATGTCTCTGGCAAAGGGTAAGTAGTTAATACGTTTACAAAACTTGTAGATTGCGCTACGGATTCTTGAGCCGTAATACATGGATCTTAAACTCAGCCGATTTTATGGCGCATCGACCTCCTTATTTAGCACGGAGAAACATTTAGAGGTTTACCCAAAGTTTGGTACTGCTCCTGGATCTTGGGGAACTCTTCCTCCTCCTTCGGAATCTCGGCGGTGAGCCTCTCGAACAATTGCAGCGCCGATTGCATGCTGATGAGATCCGTCGGTTCCTTCGTTATTCTGCAAACGAATGAATTCACGTACGATTCAGTTCGAAATTCAAAAAGGCCCCGCGACAGGATTTATGGGAGTAACGCCTCGCGAGCAACGCCTCTCCAATGTTCCGCTCGGCTTGAGGAAATTTACATTAATAGTATCGATCGAGAACTGAAAACGAATATAACTGGAAGGATTCAATTATGCAATAGAGCGGAATACATGATTACGCGGACACCCTATGAAAGAATTTTCAGCGCAGTAATCAGCATTGAAATAATGTGCGAAATGCAGTTAATTTTTTTGAATTGAAGAGCAAGGAATAAATTTGTGTGCGTGTTTTTCCTTTCCGAATTTATTTTCATACGATGAGTATTTAAATATGAATTTCATTAATAATTTATGTAGCTCTCACAGGAAAACATCTTGAAGTGTCAAATTCTGATTTTAATCAAACTTTGTACGCATGTAAATTACGTAAACATATGAATTTAGAAATTATTAGTTGCGGCCAATTTAAACGGCAAATTTAAGAGGTGAAATCACCTTATGTGCAAAACAATTATTAATGGAATGAAAATAATATTAATCTGTCTATTTGCTGAAGTATGTTACTATTTTTATTCAAGAATTTTATTTATGAAAATATATCAAGACAAGTTAGAAATCTTTCTAAGACGTATAGAAGGTGAATAAAGTCTTATACTTACAAAGGTAATATAAAAAGAATTGTAATAAAAAAATATTATATTCAAAATGGTTCTTTCACTTACAAAGCATATCCGGAAATTATATTTACTTGTATTTAGCATGTTACGTGATTTATATAAATAACTGCTATAATTATTTGTAACTACAAAGTTTATTTAAAAATGTTAAAATTTAATTTCTCTCTCATAAGAAGGGAATAATTTCTCTCATAAGAGAGAAATTTCTCTCTAATCTCTTTTTTTAAAGGAACATAATGAAAATAATGGCAGTGTATTCTTAGATATTTATTTCAATTCGTAATATATTCACGCAATTTAAGTTTTTGCATAAAATTAATATTATTTAGCCTTTTAGTAAATTAAATACGAAAAGTTAAAATCAACTGTCAATATAAACAGTTTTAAGCGGTCAAATTATCTCGTATAAAGCAGTTTTCAGATTTATACTTTATATCTCAAAAATTATTCAAGATATTAAAAAATGTTTGATACAAAAACTTCCCAATAAAATTATCTCTATTTATCAACAACAAAAAATAACTTCAAAACAGAATCTTTTTAAATTAAAAAAATTTTTTAACTTTTGTATAAAACATTTTTTGATATCTTGAATAGTTTTTTAAATATAACGCAAAAAGCTGAAAAACAGTTTTACATATGTATAAGGACTTTACTCTTTAAAATTGTTTATTGGCCTCAACTAATATTTTCTAAATTCATCTGTTTACGTAACCTATATGCATATGGAAAGAGGATTGCGAAAAAAAAACATTTTATATCTCAAAGATTTTTGCTCGTATTATATCTTTAGATAATAATTTTTTTGCGATGTGATAGAACAGATTTAAAGCATGTTAAATCATATGAAGATGTTTTTGCAGATTATTTAACAAGATTTTAAAATGGAAATTGACACTTTGAGAGATTTTTTTGTTATATAATTGTTTGTAAAAACAACTTTATGTGATTTAACACACTTTAAATCCGTTCTATCACATCGCAAAAAAAAATAATACCTAAAGATATACAAGCAAAAATCTCTGAGATATAAAATGTTTTTTTCCCACAATCCTCTTTTCATATCGCATTTTTTTTTCAATCCTGAACGCAATCTTCTTTTCGCTTTGAATAACAATCCATGCGGGCAACTAACTTTGTGGAATTTTCAGCGATGTAATGATAAACGTGGTCGATCATTCCATCGGTCATGCGTAATAAAAGTGTGGTGAGCTTCTGTTGCCAGATTGAACAATGTTCGATGATAGTGGCTTTCAATCCATCAAAATTTATATCTAGGAAATGCACTGTCGCCATAGTTTCCTGCAGTTGGACGCTATTCGTCACATCAAGGTATTTACTTATATCCGCGTCGAAGGATGCCGCCGTTGGCTTCAACTTCTCGTATCTAATTTACAAGATAAATAATAAGCAATAATAGTTTTATGCAAAAACTTAAATTGCGCAGATATTTTGATTAGATGAATTAAAATTATATGTAAAAATATTTTGCCCTCATTATGTCCCTTTTAAAACAGTTTATCAAAGGGAATTAAATTACAGAATTTTTAAATAAGCTTTATATAAACAGTTGCAAATTGTAGTAGCTGTTCATGTAAATCACGTAACATATTAAATACGGGTAAATGTCCGTACAAGCTTTTTAAAATGTCATAAGCAAAAAATCATTTTAAATATTATATTTTTTATTACAGTCCTTTTTTAAGTGTTACCTTTGTATGTATAAGTCTTTATTCACTTCCCATACGTCTTTGAAAGGTTCCCAGATCTTGATATAATTTTGTACTTGACCAAAACTGTAACTTACCTCTGCAAATTGATAGATTAAATTAATATTACTTTTATATTCTATGTTAATATAAGTTAAAAGTAACATTAGAAATTGCTAAGTTAATATCAAATTGGAATTGCATATTAACAGTGTTACAAGATGTTTTTGTCGAATATTAGAAAATTAAATTGAGATAGAGAAGAATTTTATCTAAATTGAGATTATTATTCTAATCAAAGATGATTTGAAACGATTTTAACAGATTAAAAGATTAAATATATTGTGTGTAATAAAAAATGCAAATGTAATTAAAAATAGAATTATTCAAGAAGATATATGGGAAGTATCAATGATACGACCATTATTGATTTTCTGTTGAAGTTCAATCAATTCTTTGTCCTCTTTATACAACTGCGAAAAGAGAAAACTCTTATCTGGAAGCATTTTAAACTTCTTAACTAGCCGCGAGACATCTTTCAAGGGGTCCAGCAAAATATTCAAAATGTTTCCGATCACTGTAGCTATCTCCAAGAGATTCGGCACGAAGTTTATCTAGATAAATCAATATAAACTATTTAGAGCTTCCGTTCATGTTTCCACGAGTCCTTTTTTACAGTAAATAATTAAAATCTACAAATAATTAGATAAAATATTCTTGTCATACAGTTTGTCGTATCGTTAGATTTAAAAAATGTTAAATTATTATCGTTCTACAAGTACAAGAACTTTACGATTAAACAATGTACGTAATACTGTTGCATGGCATGTTATACATGTTATGCATAGTTATGGACATACTTTGTTATCGATAATATCCGCTTGCATTAATAGAAGAGGCGAAGGTCCTGTCGTGTCAGCGCCGTGAAGGGCTTCGAACATGGTGGTCAAAGAATTCTTTAAACACAAACTGATGGCTTCCTCAATTACCGTATCGATTTTTATTAAATAATCTTTCCATTCCGCGCGGCTCTGGCAGAAGAGAAACAATAATGAAGTTGAATATGCCAATCTATCGAGCGGATATACGCAGAAATTAGTACTCTTGTATACGAAGAATTCAATTTTTATATGAAATAAACTGGAATGATTGAGCACGCGGAGAAAACGTGTGGAGAAAATATTTAACAATACTCATCTTAAACTGTGTCGAAATTGATAAAGAATATTTATTTAATTTACGAAGATGTTATTTTTAAATGTTAAAACTTAAATTTTTATTTTAATCTTCACATCCAGAATTAGCAGTTTTCAATTTTTGCATATATTACAATGCTTATAGATGAAAAGGTATAATATTTGATTTGTATTGATTATCTTTCATTAATTTATTTCTCTTTCAGATCTAAATTTACCAAATTTATGTAGTAATGTTAATTTAATCAGTTCATTGATAAATTTGGTAAAAGATAGTAAAACGTGCTATTTCAGAGAATGCCCGTTTAAGAAGGTTGTAACTCGTCGAGAGTTTTTGAATTAACCGAGAAGCTACGTGCACATGGTGGCAGTCACGTTACGGACGGGGAGACATATCATAACACGAATCTGCTATAAGTACCCTCCTTACTTCTCCAACTTTAGTTACACAAGAATTGCTTTGTGTAGCCCGAGGGCGCGCAACGTACATTGTTTCCTCCACGGATATTCTTTTCGTCGAAGTTATTCGGTCATTCTTACGTTTGCGTAGACTTTACAGAAAAAATTCTGACACAACTCGTCAGAAATTTGCCAGCAAACCAGCAAGCGTGCCTCGCGGCACTTGCTTAGGAGTTTGCGGAAAATATTAAAAAATTACGCAAGCTCTGCCGTAAATTTTTAAAGTTGATTTAGCATGAAATTTGTTCGGGACATAATTGCAGGCATGCATACGCAAGGACTGCAGATAGGTAGATAGTATAGATAGATAGCATAGGTAAAGCGTAGGTAAGTATGCTTTAATTAAATGACAAAACACAAGCAATAGTCATTAACACGTTCCGTGTATGGAAAGAACGATTTTGTTAAAAGGTCTAAAAATTTTGCTGAATACAAATCTGAAAATAATTTTTTGAATCATTAAAATAATTTGTTGGAACGTTAAAACTGATAAGCATTGCTGTAAAACGTTTTGATATTCTGGAAATTATTTTAACTTTTGCACAAAATTATTTTGGTTATTGAACAAAAATTGTTTTCAGATCTGGATCCAGCAAAATTGTTCTTTTCATGTGCCCAATTTCCGTGTGTTCCAATTTTAGCTGACTTGTCCACTACACATCAGTGAATTGCATATTTTTGTTTGTATTTATTATATTTGTTAGGTAAAATGTATTTCACAGTGATTAAAAGTTATAAAAATTGTTATTAAATATAAAATATTAAATAAAAAAGGAAAGCTTAATGTACCAATGTATCATGCATCATAATTTTGTATTTATGCATAATATCAAAAATTATTTCATAATTGTGTTTTTTTTTTATAGCCAAAGTATTAAACGGTTTGAATGAAAAGTATTTACTGTAGATCGTTAGAGTGATCCACACGGCACGGAACGTATTAAATATATAATACTAAATTAAAAAAAAAGGGTATTTTTATTTCTAGAGTTAGGAAGATGGCATATTTGATCATGTTTCGTAGCCGCGCCAAGAAGAAGAGCTATACCTCTTGTATTACATTCTTGAAGCCCTCGTAAATCTCCATGACGTACAGAAATACCATATCGAGTCTTTGAGTCATAACTTGGAACGCCTCGTCTCTGGAAAGTGAGAAAGTTCGAACCGATACGCGTGCGCTCGCTAGACATTAAGTTTCAGTCACGCGCCTGAATTTGCGACAGAGCACAATGCAAAATGGAAATCCTACCTCACGTGCAAAAGTTCCTTCTCGAATGCAGGCAATGTGTACGTGTAATTAACCCTTATCCTGATCATCGAAGCGTCGCAGATGTTCTCGCAGATTCTTACGATTTCCGAGTTCGAGTTCTTGTAAGTATCGATGAAGTCCTGGAACTAAAAGGACAGATAATTCAAGTTTTTTTTTGTCATTCAATTCACATACTATAAAATTATATCAGTAAGAAATCAATATGGCGTTTAGTTTTCCGTCGTTCTAATTCCGAAGTTGTAGCGCGCATTGCTTGGCAGAAGAAAGCAAGAAGAAAATACTAACGAAAGTTTGGAAAGAAACGAAAATAATATAGCAAACACTCAACTTAACGTTATTAAGATCAATGTCTTTTGAGATTTTGTCTCTATACACAATGTATCGACATGATGATTATATATATTTTGTTGTCGCATTATACGGGACTTCGTAATTAATTGTCCAAATGCAGGTGGATAGCGAGCGAGATTTCTCTCTTGGACAGTCGAAGATTAAATTTTACCGCGAGGTTACCGTACATATATTGCACGAATTTATACAGCCTTCGCGCGCGACGGACGAGGTAAGAGAAAGAGAGAGAGAGAGAGAGAGAGAGAGAGAGAGAGGGAGAGAGAGCGAGAGAGACTCTAAACGTACATTGGCCGTTTCGTTGAAACAATTCTCGATGTACGAGTTCACGTAATCCGTGTTCCACGTCAGCTTGGTTAAGCCGGGATTGATCTTCCGGTCGAGCTGCCGAATTAATTCGCGAAACAGCGCACGTTCTGTCAGCGACAATGCTGAAAAATAGAAGTTTTGCTACGTTGCAAGAATATTTCGCTACCATCGCGTGTGACTGCAAATACGGAGAATGTCGCTTTCATCGCGCGCATTACGGACATATACGCTGTTTGAATCGTGTCATCATGATATTTGCATAAGCACTCACATTTTAGCCGGGGGGGAACTTTTTCATCAAAGCTTAGGGAAAAATAAATTTAGCTATTGTATATTGTACACGTACGTATATTCTGATATAAGTTGTAAACTGCAATGTTATATAAAACTGTTTGCATAAATTAATAAAATGTTATAGTCATTAATGAATCTCGGTTGGATGCATTCTTTAAAAAAAATAATGATAGAAAAAAATAAAGATAATTTTGCAGGGTTTGAATCCTGGCTAGGATAATATTTTTCACAATAAATTCTTTGAGATGGAGTCTCGAGATGCTCATCAATATCATTAAATTACTTGTCAATTTAATTTGTTATATTACTATTTCAGTTTCAGTTTAGGATTGCGTTTCAAAACCGAAAATTCGACACGTAGTTTACAGAACTGAATATATGTATGTATCAATTCATCATAATACTAAAGTATTATTAAGAACCAAGATCTAGTTTATTGTCAAACCAAAAAAAAATGTTTTCTTATTAAAACCGAAAATTAAATCGATACGTAATTTACAAAACTAAATACCTATTAACATACATATAAATTCATACTCTCTCTCTAAAATATTATTAAGTACCAAGATCTAGTTCAGATCAACAAAACATTTTTTTATTAATTACATATTAATTGTGTCATTTATATTCAGGTTTATATTCACGGTTCAGTGCCACTTATTAATCATTTTTTTAATTAAACGTACGCTGAATATTAATTTTTATAATCAAATATTATATTAAATGTTGTTAAGAAAGCTATATAAAAATAATTGAGAAATACTATTTTCTCATCTATGCATCGTTGTAATAAAATTATCCTTGCATTTTTTAAATAAAATTCTTTCTCTGAAATAAAATTGCTGACATATAACTCTTGACTCTTGAAAAACATCACGCTATTATTTTCTTTTACAATTTACTCCGTGTGTCATTTGGTAAGTGATTATTGGAAACAGCAAACCTTCGATAATCTTGTTGTACGCCAGCGTGACGGCGAGGACACTTTCGTAGATAAAGTGCAGCGTGTCCCACTTGTCGTGTATCAGTTGTATGTGCACGGGTATGTTGAATCTCAAGCTGATCCAATAGAAACACTCGCGGCAGAGATTCAGGATATTAGGATCGATGTTACACTCCAGCAGGCCGGGTCTCCTGTCGCTGCGCCGCATCAGGTAACGATCGAGTCGCGCGCGCGGGTTATCGCCGACGTCGTGCAGCCATTTTACGTACAGGTCCCTCACGGAGTCCTCGATGGATCTGATCACGATGTCCTCCTGATGATAGATCTCCTCGCTCATGCCGCAATAGGGCATCCACTCGGCCTTTTCCAGCATCTTTCGCATCGATAACAGACGGTCACCTTTCAGACGTAGATTCAACGCTCTGCCGACGTAATACGGAGTGATCGACGAATATTCTTCCCTCTCGTTCAGGACCTCCTGCTTTGTCCGTTCGATATCGTCGGCCAAGATTTGCCACACCTTGAAAATTGTTCGTTCTGAATGTTACTGATTGTGCTTCAACGATTTAACAATAAGACATGATTTAAAAAGCTCAGTGATTTAAAAAGCTCTGAGAATTTAAAAAAGGATTTATTTCACATTTAGGCGATAAGAATAACGAAAAAGATAAAATTATAAAAATAAATATAATTTGACAATACAAATTCTTGCGTTTTTAGATTCTTTTCCTTCTATAGAACTTTTATAAAAAGCTATTACAGTAAAATAAAAAATTTTATATGTAAAATGCTTCTGCAAATCTTTATCATGTTCCTCAAAATTAAGGAAAATTACTTACTAATTAAATTAATAAGGATAAATTATTATATCGCTTTTTCCAAGAACTCATTTAATAAATCTCTGTAATATCTGTATAATAATTTATTTTAAAAATAGAATATTTTTAAAAATAGAAATATGAAAAAGTTTGCAATAGCATTTCAAATAAAATTTTTTATCTTACTGTGTATAGCTTTTTATAGTTTTATAGAAAGAAAAGAATCTAAAATTTACTAAAGAATTTGTACACAGTGCGGTCCATAAGTTCCCGGACTGATTTTTTTGCAGCCTCCTCATTGATGCCATTTATCGGACGACTGTTGAACTACATAGTGTGAACCTTTTCGAACAGCCATGTTGAGTGGCATAATTTTAGCCGCAGTTGAAGAGTGCGGACGTTTGATATAGCCTGATGTTGTGTGTGTGCGTTACAGGCAGAGAAAGGATTGGCCAACGCAGCTAAACTATAGCCGTGGCAGCTAATGTGTGTTTTTAAAATATAGTATATTTTACAATATAACTAATATTGTTACTGCCAAAGCTAAATTTATTAATTGTTAAAATTTAGGCGCTACAGCAAAAAATATTTGCTAAAAAAATCAAATAATGTTTAGCTAATTCTATTGAGAAATATCCAACAAAACTTTTAAATTTTTCAGCAAAATCATTCTTTCCTTATTTAAAAACACGCATTAGCTGCCACGCTATATTTTAGCTGCGTTGGCCAATCCTTTCTCTGCCTGTGACGCACACACACAACATCAGGCTATATCAAACGTCCGCACTCTTTAACAACTGCGGCTAAAATT